GTGCTACGTGTGATTCCCCGTGAAGATGAATAAATTCCTTGGTTTCTGTACTCTTGGTCTCCTCGTTCCTTGCTCCGTGTTCCCGCACCGTAGCAGATCGTGACAGGATCACTCCAACCCTAAACTGTACCTCCTTTAAAAATGTCTCAGATTTTTGCTGGATATATGACTCAAATAGGCTGTGTGGATCCATGGAGGTTCTTATTTCCTGATAAAAAAAGAATTCTCTTGCTTTTCACATGTCCACCAGATGTACTCAAGAATAGATTATTACTTTTATTGATAAAAGGTTTATCCCTGCAATAAAAAACATAGAATACTCTACTATTGTTGAATCGGACCACACCCCCGTAATTCCTTATATGTGACCCTGGACCACAAAACCAGTCTTAAGTCGCTGTTGTATATTTTTAGCAATAGCCAAAAATACATTGTATGGGTCAAAATTATTGATTTTTCTTTTATGCCAAAAATCATTAGGATATTAAGTAAAGATAAAGTTCCATTAAGATATTTTGTACATTTCCTACTGTAAATATATTAAAACTTAATTTTTGATTAGTAATATGCATTGCTACGAACTTCATTTGGACAACTTTAAAGGTGATTTTCTCAATATTTGGATTTTTTTTGCACCCTCAGATTCCAGATTTTCAAATAGTTGTATCTCGGCCAAATATTGTCCTATCCTAACAAACCATACATCAATGGAAAGCTTTCAGATGATGCATAAATCTAAATTTTGAAAAATTGACACTTAAGACTGTTTTTGTGGTCCATGGTCACATATTTGTTTTTCTTATAACTACCCAACGTGGCCAGTATGGAGGCTAAACACAACCTTTACTTTCAGACGCCAATTTTTGCCAATTCATATTTTGTGTTATTGACAATTTTCTATTAATGAATAAAACAGACTTTATATCACCGTCATTATTATGGGAGACATTCAAGGTTGTAATTATGGAATGCCATCCTGTCAAAATTAGAAATAAATACAGAAATAAATATACAAATAAATATACAAATAAATGTAAAAAAGCAATAAATAAATTAAAAATATATAAATAAATATGCAAAGAAAATTAAAAAAGCAAAAATAAATATTTATTTCTACTTTTATTTCCTTTATTTATGTATATTTTTATTTTCCATTTATTTTTTCTTTATTTATACATTTCTTTATTTCTACTTTTATTTATTTCCACATTTACAGTATGTATTTTTTACGTATTTATTTCCACATTTATTTATTTCTACCTTTATTTATTTTCACAATTATGTATTTCTACATTTCTTTGTCCATAGGGTAATGAGGAGGGCGTGTTTTACCTCAGTAATAGCAATCGAGCCAGAGCAGGCCATTTATCCAATATTACCACTTGCCATTGTGTTGCGTATACTACATCAGTTAACTAAATGAAGGTGAAGCAGGTGCTTGCTCAGCAAAACATGTCTGTAGGTATGTTGCACGTGTTGACATGCGCCCATGAGTTAACAAATATGTATAGCATTTTTTTATTTTTACCATACATCATACTTAAAAAATACTTAACTGCGTTAAAATGAATGTGTTACCCAGATTATTGTATTTGATTCAGAGTCTCCCAATTTTCTTGCCAAAGTCCTTTTTTCAGTCGACCAATAGGTTGCTGTCCTCTTTTATATGGGTTGGCAAAAAGGCAAGGGTTGTGGCAAGGGGTCATAATGTCTGTTCCCTCTATTAGGGAACAAGTTCAAAACATTCCCTATCTATCTGTCACTACGAGTTATGTCGTGACGACATTAGGGGACCTATGGAAAGTGCCATAACCACTGAACGTCATTACCACTGAGGTGCTGCAAATGCTGCGTGCCAAGGCAAATTCCAATGCATAAGTCGTAACCTTCCCAATGCCCCAGAGCAAATTCAATGACTTTGGTGCTAAGGAATTTCAACTTCTGGAAAAAGATTTCAGATCTTTTTCCATTTTTTTCAGCAAGGCTAGGTGAAAACATTACCTTGTGAAGGGGAAATGGTGCAGCAAGCGTGACACAGAGCCAGTTCTTCCAGCCACTTACCTATCACCCAACACACGGGAAGACACCGGCTGTACGTGAAGGTTGTTAAACCTTGCGAAGGTGTTAGGTGTCACCAAGCCCACAGCTCTGCAGATGTTTTGCCAGAGAGGCGCAATGTGCCAAAACCCAGGAGGAAGCTACACTCCAGGTGGAATGAGCTCTCACCCCCAGGGGGCACAGCTCACCTTGGTATTGGTACGCCAAGGCGATGGCATCCACTATCCAGTGGGCCAAACTCTGCTTGGAGACAGCCTTCCCTTTCTGCTGGCCTCCTTAGAAGACAATGAGCTGCTCAGAGCTTCGGAAGTTCCAGGTGCACTCCACATACAGTGGGGAAAATATTTATTTGATCCCCTGCTGATTTTATAAGTTTGACCCAAACAAATGAAGGGTCTGTAATTTTTATGGTAAGTTTATTTTAACGTATAGAGACAGAATACCAACCAACAAATCCAGAAAAAAAACACATTATATAAAGGTTAAAAATTGATTTGCATTTCAGTGAGTGAAATAAGTATTTGATCCCCAAGCAAAACATGACTTACTACTTGGTGCAGAAACCCTTGTTGGAAAGCACAGAGGTAAGACGTTTTTTGTAGTTGGTCACCAGGGGCCGGTTGCACCAGCTAGACGTAAAAAAGGTGTAAGCCCTACTCTGGGCTTTGCAACGTCCAGCTTTACAATAAATATTTACATCTGTTGCTCCAACTAAAACTACAATCAGGTGCAACTACGCCCGGCGTAGACAATACGCGTCCATGCTGACACATTCTCCCGCAGTGATGGCTGAAGCAGGATTTATACTTTCACCTGGCTCTGCTCCACTAGCCTCCGGTGACTGCGCGCACACCTTCCCAAATGGGCGAGGCTTTTATACTTGTCGCATTCGCCATTGTAATATTCTTTGAAACGATGGGGTGACGAGGAGTAATTGTCCTCTAAAACCATCGGGAATCACCTGTGAGAAGAAGTCATTTGCCAGTATAAGACTTCTCGCGTGATGAATGAGTTGATGAATTAATAATTTCTTTATGTACAAACTGATTAAAACAATCTTAAACTATTGGCTTTATTTTGCATCCAACACGACAACTTTAAGCAAATAGTGTATAAATAGTATCTAATTTAATTCTAATTCTATTTTTATCTATTTTTGTCACCGCGCCATGATTTTATTGAGTAAACATTTTCTAACAAGTCCGCATTTTATATCTGAAGTCTCCCTGCACATTCCCATGACAGATTTCTTCAAATGAACATTAAAAATGAAGGCAGCAGGTTAAGTAAAATATAATGAATGTAATACAATGCTTCTATCTAGAGTTATTTTTTTCTAACTGACTATCGAGTTTATGTACAATGAATGTCTTTCCTGAGGTAAATGTGACTTTACGTGTCATTGTGTTACTGACGTCTTTCTGTGGCTGAAAAACCACATTCATAGTTTGTATTTTGTGATAAAACTGACAGAATTTGGAAGCTGATACTTTATTTCTAATTAAAAGTAACAAAAGCACAAAACTTACTGCGATTATCGGATGGCAGGCACGCTACAAATAATGAATGGAATTAAAGACGTGAAATATTTCCAAGCATTATACCGTCCTTCCCAGCAAGATGTAGAAAGGTACAGTTTCTTTTATATGTAATGTTTTACTGCATAATTACATGCTGTACAGAAATATAGTTTTTATTAGGTCAATTACTGTCGGCAGTGTGGTATAGTCTACACCGAGCTTCGCGATTTGATATCGCTTAACCTGCCTGAAAAGACCATAAACATTACAGTTCACGTCTGCAATAATAATTAACTAACAGACATGATTCCTAAAAATTAATAATGTACGAGCAAATCATGACTTTTCACTTTACACCTACCTCTGACTAGGCGTAGTATTTAGTCTCAGACGTAGCACTACGCCGAGATGGTGCAACGGGTATAAATTCTACCCACGACTTAAAGCGCATTTTACATCCAGCCTAGTCTTACAACCCGGGTGTACGTCCAGCTGGTGCAACCGGCCCCAGGTTTGCACACATCTCAGGAGGGATTTTGATCCACTCCTCTTTACAGATCCTCTCTAAATTCTTAAGGTTTCTTGGCTGTCATTTGGCAACTCGAAGTTTCAGCTCCCTCCACAGATTTTCTACACGATTGAGGTCTGGAAACTGACTAGGCCACTCCATGACCTTAATGTGCTTCTTCTTGAGCCACTCCTTTGTTGCCTTGGCGGTATGTTTCGGGTCATTGTCATGCTGGAAGACCCATCCATGATACATCTTCAGTGTTCTGGCTGAGGGAAGGAGGTTCTTGTCCAAGATTTTACAGTACATGGCCCCATCCATTTGCCCCTCATTGTGGTGAAGTCGTCCTGTACCCTTAGCAGAAAAACAGCCCCAAAGCATAATGTTTCCACCTCCGTGCTTGACTGTAGGGATGGTGTTCTTGGGGTCATAGTCAGCATTTCTCTCCCTCCAAACACAGTGAGTCGAGTTAATGCCAAAGAGCTCAATTTTGGTCTTATCTGACCACAGCACTTTCTTCCAAGCCTTCTCTGAATCATTTTGATGTTCTTTGGCAAACTTTAAACGGGCCTGTACATGTGACTTCTTGAGCAGGGGGACCTTGCGGGCGCTGCAGTATTTCAGTCCATTACGGCGTAGTGTGTTACCAATGTTTTGCTTGGTGACTATTGTCCCAACTGCCTTAAGATCATTAACAAGCTCCTCCCGTGTAGTTCGGGGCTGATCCCTCACCTTTCTCATGATCATCCTTACCCCATGAGGCAAGATCTTGCACGGAGCTCCAGACCAAGGCCGATTGATGGTTGTTTTGTATTTCTTCCATTTCCGAATAATCACACCAACAGTTGTCTCCTTCTCACCAAGCTTCTTGCTGATGGTCTTCAGGGCTGTACAGTGCGACATGTATGTAATAGTGTGTGAAGTGATTTTGTTGTGCTTGTTTGTGTGTGTGTGTGATATTGACGGCGCACTGCTATTATACATAGTAGTTGTAGTCTATTGAGCGATTAAAACTCGTGTCCCTGCTGCATTGAGTCATTTCATACAACTCCATTTCCCACAATTCCTAAGTAATGCGCCCATAATTTCTACGCAGCTGCTAGTTGAGCGTGTTGACGGGAAAAATTAAGCAGTATTTTCAAGTCATCCACGAAAACCCCAAACGAGCCTGTGAGGAAGAAATGACAGAAGCAACTTTACCAAATGAAAGTAAGGGAGAAACAAAAAAGAACATGTATAGATACAACACCAAGTGGAAAAAGGATTTTCCTTGGTTAATTTTCGATGCAGACCAACAGCTCTTGTTTTGTAGCTGGTGCAAGGAGGCTCCAGAAAAGATTAAAGTAGACAACCCCTTTGTGATGGGTAACAGCATTTTTAAAAAGGATAACATAAAAAACACAGCACTTCCCAGCGTCATCTGCTTGCAAGAGATGCATTCATGGCCAAACAACAACCTGAGCGGGCTGGCACGCTGCGGCACACCCTCAGATCCCAGGCAGCCAAAGCAGATGATGCTGCTTTCCGTGAAGTTAAAATGAAAATGAATGTGGCGTATTGCATCGCTAAAGAAGAACTTCCTTTCACAAAGTTTAAACCGTTGATTTTGTTCTGCAAAAAGAATGGAGCGGATATAACGCCATCTTATGATAACCACGTATGATGTAGAGAGATAATTTCTATGATAGTTGATGAAATGAAATCCGATCTGGCGGATGAAATTAGAGCAAGCCGCTACCTTTCTGTGATGATCGACTGGGACACGGACGCATCGAACAAGGAATGCGAAATGGTCTATGTTCGAATCCTTCAGAATGGAAAGCCAGCAAACAAGCTGGTCGGGCAACAGGAACTAAAATACAGCCATGCATTAGGTGAGTATAGGTTACTATTAGGGTGTTTTTCAATAATGAGACAATAATTCAAACAATTTATGCAGAGTTCCTTGTACTTTTGATTAATTTAAGTTATCTATGTCATTTAAGGAGTTCTACAAGCCACCAAGACTGCTTTTGAGCAGCTAGGACAGGAGACAGATTGAATAAACAAGCTAGTAGGCTTTGGAGCGGATGGAGCTGCAGTGAATATGGGATGACGTGGAGGTGTCACTGCCCTGCTTAAAGAAGAGGTCGGGAAGCATGCAGTTCCATTCCACTGCATGCATCACAGGTAAATTTGATTATTGCTTTGGTTAGATATGCTGAAAGTAATCTAATATACATTAAAAATTGGTATAGGTAATTTCATTCATAGTCAGAACAGTAATAACTTCCTAATTACTAATGGTAAATTGTAAACATTAAGACTTTGATGCACCATATCACACATAAACATGTACTTACTGAATAAATATATAAATAAGCTTTTACACTGCTTTTCATTTAGATTGGAATTGGCTATGCTGACTGTCCAAAAAAAGGAGCCCATGGTAGCTAAACTTTATGACCTCCTCTTCTTGCTATGGAAAACATTCCACTATAGCCCAAAGTCTCTGAGGGAGCTGCAGGCATTGGGCAAAATGCTGGGTGTTAACATCAGTAACCCTTTCAATGTCAAAGGCACACGTTGGATTCCTCATGTTGAGCGTGCATTACATGCACTTCTCAAATCGGCTGGACAGAATGAACAGGACAGCAGCCAGTATGCTGCAACCCTACAACACATGAGCAGCCTGTCTGCATCTTCTCCCTCTGCTGAAATGAAAGGCAGAGCTAAGAAGGTAATACATTTCAAATTGGGCTGCTCAATTCTTTTTTTAACGTTGTTTCATGAAATTGTTCCTTTTTCTACAATTTCTAAAAATATAATTTTTCAGATCAAGTGTGAGATGGAGCGTGTAGAGTTCTGCGCCTTTTGCCACTTTATGGCTGATGTATTTGCAGAAATAGGGAGCCTTAGCCGTATCCTACAGGGAAATGACTTGATCTTACCCAAGGCCTCTGCTGAGCTACAGAGAACAGTGTCTGAATTGGAAGAAATTAAGTTGAGGCCTATACCAGGAGGGATGTTAGAGAATTTTCTTAGCATACAGCGTGAGGGAGGGACTGTTACTTTTCAGGTGTGATACAATAGCAAATAAGAGATTTACAAAATAAATTAATCTTAATGAAATGGCAACTGTATTTTGCTATTGGTGTTAACATTTTTCAGAGTGTGGAGCTGAAAGGGCAAATTCCCTTGACTGGTGATGCATTCAGCAGTCTCCATGTGACAGCAACTGTTGACATTGCAGTGGAAGAAATAAGATCATGCTTCAGTTGTTTGCTGAATCAGTCAGGGGAAGTTGAAGTTGAATGCTTCAGAATATTCAACCATGATGCATGGCCAGAGAGTCAAGCTGCATTACTGGACTATGGCAGGGCAGCGGTTCAGTCTCTTCTCCAACATTTTGACAAGCTTCTTAGAAAGTGAGGGCAGATAAGTGGTTAGGTGATATGTGTTTTATGAATCTATCAAAGAAGATTCAGTGTTTTAATTTTACCAAGTTTCTGATGTCTAAATGTCCCCACACCATATTTTTTTTGAAGCCCCTAATCAGGACCACCTTTGCAGACAGGTCATACCTAGGGCTGTGGCAGACACTTCTTACCAAGGAGCCATATTGCTCAGACTTTAAGGTATGTGGGCTATACTTAACATTCTTCACAATTTACAAAATTGTGTCTACTTTCCTGAATAAATCGAGTTTTACATATTTATATTTATTTCAGAACTTTCTGCACTTGACTGAAAAACTTGTGATTGGCTTGTGATGCCAATCTCGTCCACTCAGTGTGAGCGAGGATTTTCAGACCAGAATCGAATAAAGAACACTACCCTCTATGTCTCCACTGCTGAGGACTTAATCCGTATCAGTGCAGAAGGCTGACCATTGGAGGAATTCAATCCAAATCGGATAGCAGCTAAATGGATTACCTCTTCTAAAAGGGCCAGGAGACCAAATACAAAAGAGTGGCCAGCAGACATGCTAGATCTGTGACACATACACTCTGCACTAAACTAAAAAAAAGATGCAACTGTTGATAGTATTATTCTCAAAGGAGTTTCATGGTATAGGTTTGTTTGCTAGTTTGCAAATTTAGTGTTTTATTTAGAGCTTTTATTTAGTGATGTCTGCCCACAGATCTATTCTTACTTTGATGTGTAATGTTGAGGTGTAAGTGGTGTTGTTTCTGCACTCTTCCATTTTTAGCAAATAAAGAAAAAACTTTGTCTAAAACAATTTTTTGTGATAGTTTGTATTTTTTGTGCTCTGTATGGAAAATCAATGTAAGTAATGAACTCCATTACTTGTGTTTGTTTTCAGACATGATAACTTAATGATAATGATTAAGTTTTATGTTTGTGCTTCAACAGTTTGGCCTGTGCTACAAAACTTTCAACCTCTGTAGCACCACCCTTACGATAAAGAAGTTTATTCAAGTGTGCTCTTAGTATACTTCTTTTAAACTAAAAACAGGAAAGTATACTTTCAGTCTACTTTTTATGTACTTTGTGTAGTCTATACTTAAAGTGTACTAAAAAGCTACAAGTATTTAGTTAGTAAACTATAAGTATACCTATAAGTTCACTTTTAGTATAGTTGCAGTACAAACTAAATACATAGATGTAAACTAGTAGTGTACTCAAAGTTTACTTCTGTTATACTTAAAGTATACTTTTATATGCTAGAAAGTGGGCCAATTTAGTACCAAGGAGTATTGAAATATTACACTTACAAGTATACTACTAGTAGACTGATATTTGTATACTTACTACATAAAGTATACTTAAAAATATACTTGAACTTTACTTAAGTATACTTAATCAAATAAACTTGAAGTATACTACTTTTTGGTAAGGGCAGTGCTATGTGCGAAAAAAAGTTAACATACAGCCCTGGTCTTGTAGCCCATTCAAGCCTTGTGCAGATCTATGTCTCTGACATTCTTTGACAGCTCTTTGGTCTTGCCCATGGTGGTGGGAGAGGTTGGAATGGAAGATACAGATTGTGTGGACAGGTGTCTTATACATCTAACGAGCTGACATTAGGAGTGACTTCTTAAAGTGGCAAGACTAATCTGTGTTCCACATGGGCACATAACCAATCTGTGGGAGCCAGAATTCTTGCTGGTTGGTAGGGGATCAAATATTTATTTCACTCACTGAAATGCAAATCAATTTCTAACCTTTATATAATGTGTTTTTTCTGGATTTTTTGGTTGATATTCTGTCTATCTGTTAAAATAAACCTACCATAAAAATTACAGACCCTTCATTTCTTTGTAAGTGGGCAAACTTACAAATTCAGCAGGGGAACAAATAAATATTTTCCCCACTGTATATGCGCAGTACTCTTACGGGACATAGCAGTCCCAGAAGGGAGTGATGGGAACCTTGGGCACGTATCCAGGCTGGGGTCTCAGGACAATGTGAGAGTAGGCCGGCCCAAACTGAAAATGCTTGTAGGTCCCCAACCCTCTTGATGGAAGTGAGCATGGTCAGGAGCACTGTCTTAAGAGACAGGATCTTAAGCTCAACTGACTCAAGTGGCTCCCTCTGACGTCCAGCCAGGACAAGAGAGAGATCCCAGGAGGGTACGAAGGGTGGCCTAGGAGGGTTCAACCGCCTAGCACCCCTCAGGAACCTGATGACCAGGTCATGTTTTTCTAGGAACCGGCCGTCCACTGCATCGTGATGCGCTGCGATATCAGCGACATACACTTTCAAGGTGGAGGGTGACAACCTACGCTCCAACCTTTCTTGCAGGAAAGCACGACTCCGATCTGGCAGTTTTGGGGGTCTTCTCGGTGAGAAGAGCCCCAAACCATGAACAGACTCCACTTCAAGGCATAAGCTCGCCTGGTAGAGGGAGCTCTAGCTTGAGTGATGGTGTCAACCACTGCCAGGGGCAGATCACTTAAGCCTGCCACGTCCCGTCCAGGAACCACATGTGGAGGTTCTAGAGGTCTGGACACGGGTGCCATATAGTGCCCCGCCCCTGAGAAAGAAGGTGCTTCCTCAGTGGGATGTGCCAGAGAGAGACTGTCGCGAGGAGCATGAGTTCCGAAGACCAGGTACAGGTGGGGCATTAAGGCACAACCAGCAGGACCTGTTCCTCGTCCTCTCTGACCTTGCACGTTGTCTATTCGAGGAGACTCACTGGGAGAAAGGCATACTTGCGAAGACCCCGGGGCCAGCTGTGTGCCAGTATGTCTGTGCCGAGGGTGACCTCGATCAGGGAATAGTATAACTATGTGGGAGGTTTTGTGGGAAGCAAACAGGTTTACCTGAGCTTCCCCGAATCAACTCCAGATCAGTTGAACCACCTGGGGATGGAGTCGGCATTCTCTGGGGAAAGTGAGCTGTCGTGAGAGTGCATCTGCTGCATGGTTGAGCTCCCCCGGAATGTGGACGGCGCACAGTGACTTGAGCCGTGTCTGACTCCAGAGGAGGAGATGGCGGGCAAGTTGCGACATGCGACGTGATCAAAGACCTCCTTGACAGTTGATGTATTATACAGCCGCAGTATTGTCAGTGAGGACCAACAAGTGCTTGCTCTTCAGCATTGGCCGGAACTGTTGCAGAGCTAGGAGCACTGCCAGCAACTCCAGGCAGTTGATGTGCCAAAGCAGTTGAGGCCTTGTCCAGGACCCTGAGGCTGCCTGCCCGTTGCATGGCTCACCTGGCAAACTGAATCGCATAGCAGCTCTACAGGGCAATCGCTGCGTGAGGAGTGAGAGGTCCGTGGGGACTGGCCCGGCGGATTAGCTCTCACTGTAATCCTCATATCTCCCAAAGCACTAGCCGGCTGTCCTCTGCTTGGAGCAGAGAAACCGGGATGGGTAGTGACAGAGGGGTCTGCTCCTTTCCCTTTAAGAAAGGAGGGATGCGATTGCAGCGTTCCCATGGTCATGCGCTCGCAGTGCGGGCATGAAACATCTGTGAACGCATCTTCAGCATGCTGTTTGCCTAGACATGAAGACAGCACTCATGGCCATCATCAGAGGACAGGAAACAACCTCAAACAAGAGGACACGGATGGAGCAGCATCTTTAAAAAGACATGAGTCATCCGAGATTTGCTCTTTTAGAGGAAACTGCTCTTTTAGTTGAAGCGTCCAGGGGAATCGCTGAATCAGGCACACCGCTGTACACACTGTAACGCCAACCCGGAACAGCTGTCTGAGGTGAAATGGCTTTGTGAATTGCACTCTCATACAATCAATCGGCTCTGAAGCAAAAATCTGAATGAGTGAATGGACGCTGCCGCCTTATATACCCGTGTGGACAGGGGAGTGGCTTGGCATGCAAAATCCACTCGCCAATTCTCATTGACGTTTTCTCTTTAACTCAGAGGTGATTGGGGCTCCCAAGTAAGACCCCTAATGTCGTCACAGCATAACTCGTATTGACCGACAGATAGGGAACAATGAAGTCACCATTCTTACCAACGCAGTTCTCTTCAAGTCCAGTTGTAATTTCGACTCTCAAAATGTATAATCAGTTTAAAGAAGCATTTCAATTCACAGACTTCTCCTTGGAAACCCCCATATGTAATAATAATCTTTTCCCAGCTGCCAAGCTAGATTCTACTTTCAAGCAATGGCAGGACCTCGGCCTAGTTAAATGTAGTAACTTTTTCATTGACAGTATTTTTTGCTAATTACAATGATCTGGTTCAATGAGGTGGAAAAGAATGCAGTGGAGTGAGAAGAAAATAGAAAATAAAGGAAAATGTATAGCTCATTCAGTCAAACTTATGGATAAGGATTATTTGTAGTGCAACCTTATGATTTGAAATGATTTGTTTCAGTCAGTAGGCTCAGTAGAAAAAAGGTGGATACAGCGTTAATGCTTATTTCACTTTAACCTGTTCTAATATCCATAGCTTAGTTGGCGTATCCTCACAGCAATATAATAGACCGCTTCTGCTGCATAAATACAGTTGTGTAAATACGTAAATACATACTGTGTAAATCCTTTGAAATGAAATCCTTCATCCTAAATTTAAAAAAAAAAACTTTGTCTTTCTCTTAATTTATTCCTTTCCTTTCTAGCTTGTACTTATTTGAACAATGCCTAAAACTTGGTATTACGAGCACTTCCTGTGTCTGTTTGCCTCTTTAAGAAGAATCGCTTTATGTATTCCCCAACTGTAAGGCGCTTTGGATAAAAGCATCTGCAAAATTACCACATGTAAATGTAAATGTAAATGCTGCTGCTTATTTGCTTAGTAATTCTCTCCTACATCGAATGCAAGACTGTTAAATATGATGGTTAGTTAATAAGTTGTTTTTGACTACTTATTTAAGAATTAATAGGGTAGACCAATATGTACAGTGATATGGAGTAAAAGAGTGTTTACTTAAAATGATTTCAGATAGTGTCTGAAATTGTACTGCAAACTGCTACAGCAAACACTGGTCAAGTATTTGAATGTTAAGCAGCAAACTCAGGACTTTCTGAGGGGCAAATTTTTACCCTGAACTTTATTTAGATCCTGGCTCCTACGGTGGAAACACACCGAGTACTGCTCCAAAGTCCCTAGTTCCTGGGGTAAGTTCCTGTAGTGGAAACGGGCTTAAGCAAGTGTTTCACTGACGTGATCTGGAGATCTTTGCTAATTTTACCCCGTGTTACTGCGATTCTGTCTACACTGGAAGCAGCGCTGATTGACACAACAACAAACTGATGTCTTTATTTAGAACATACAAGCATTCGTGCCGCTTCTGATCTGAAAGAGAAATGGATTCGCGACATGACGCAACAGTGCTCGCATCCGATCTAGATATGTTAGGATCACAAGGAAGGTAATTCTAAGACTATTTTTCACAGCTTACACTACACAATGTCTCGTAATCTTGTAATGTCATCTCTATGGTTCTGTTGGTGGAGTAACCCTGTGTTTGCATCTCTCTAGTATTTCCTCTCCTCCTACTATATGCGCGTATCAGTGGGTGGGGCTAAAGTGGCAGTGATGTAGACATAGACGTTGATCTTCTCCTGCGGAGGCGGAGCTTAGCCACATATTATGTCATAAAGTGGCACATTCCAAAACAAGTTGTTTTCTGAGCATGGTTTCAATAAAAGCTGTTATTAAACTAACAAGAAAGTTTTGAGTTTTGAAACTTACAGGATGTTTTATAGTATATTGACCTGTTATATGTCAAAAGGTCAAGGGAAATTTAATTTCTCAGTTCATGACCCCTTTAAGTAATGATGACATGATAAATGTATTTTGTACTTTCAAGTCTGCATTAAATTGTGGTGGAGTAAAAAGTATTATTTTTCCTTGTATGTGTAATTGAGTAAAACAACAACAACAACAAGTATTCGGTTTTAACAGAACTCAAGGAAAATACAGATTCCCCAAAACAATACTTAACTAGTAGTGAAGTACTTTCATTCAAATAATTTTCACCTCTGCCACGGTGCTTGGTGGGCAGTGCTTCCAATGTGCTGCATAATCTCAGTTCTCAGTTGATTTGAAGTCTACATTTCCATAATTATTGATAGTAATCTTTTTGCAGCTTTACAGGCAAAGGTTCTTGTTTACTTGCATTTCAATGAAAAGTGCAGCCTGCAGGCGGGTCGTTTTGAGTGAACCATACTAATAGAACTATTTAATTTGTTTTGCTGTGTTCATGCTACAAAACATATTACAAATGCAAGCTTTTTCACATTAAAATAATCTTAGATTCTTTTTCAGATTACATAAATCTCTTCTGTGGTAAAAATATTTTAGATATGTAAAATTAGAAGTTAATTCACCTTTATTTATGTAGTACTTTATATCATACAGATTGTTTCAAAGCAGCTTTACAGTGATAAACAAGAAAATAATGATTCAGTGATGCAAACAGAAATCAATTCTGCTTTAAATCATGTATAAAAAGTCAATAGTAAACAGTGATTATTCATTATTCAGTCATTGTAGAAAATAAAATAGTTTAGGTAGGGTGAGGCACTGGAAAAAATGCACTGATTAAAAAAAAATAATAAGAAGAAAATTATATATATATAATTTCTTGGTTTCTCTTGGTTTCTAACTTAACCCAGCGTTTATTGTTCATTATTTTCTGCAGGAATGCTATAGCCCATTTGTGAACGGGAGTTTCTTTGAGCATGAGGGGCAACCTTTGTGTGAAGCTCACTACCACCAGTCCAGAGGAAGCGTGTGCCAGGCATGCCAGGAACCCATCCTGGGGCGCTGTGTCACCGCAATGGGTGCCAAGTTTCATCCACAGCATCTGGTGTGCCACTTCTGCCTGAAACCCCTCAGCAAAGGCTGCTTCAAAGAGCAGGACAACAAACCATACTGCCACCCCTGCTTCATCAAACTCTTTGGCTGAGGAGAGTGAGGAAAGATGATAAAGCAGATTACTCAACTGCCATCCAGCTTTTCATGAAAAAAAAAAAAAAATGGTTGCCAAATATACATTGTATGGCCAAATGTACTGTATGTGGACACACCCTTCTAATTAACAGATATAACTATTCTTAATCTTAAAGGTGCACTATGCAGGACCCCCCCCCCCAAAAAAAAAACAAACAAAAAAAACAAATACAAATACAAAAAAAATAATCTCTTTAAATTATTACTTATAATCCATTAGTATGTGGTGGTGTTTGTGCATTTCTGTGCTGCAACCTTTTTGCCAGATGCTGCTTCAGTTTGGGCTGCATGTGTTCTTGCAACTGATACCATGTCAGGGGCATTGAGGAGCATTTGAGGAGTAGCTTTAAGATTGAAAAAAGATAGGGGTAGTCAAACCTGGTAATTATAAGGGGCTGAGCTCTTTGCATATTTTTGGCCTGTTTTCCAAGTGCTTTTCAAACCTGTCCTGGTGTCTGATAAAGGAGACATCCAAAATGTGCAAGGGTGGGGGGAGAAGCATTGATAAATATATCACTGATAAATAACAGTGACTGATGAATAAATAGATTTTAGAGGGAAAGTCTGAGCCCCTATCAATCATACTGACCAGCTCAGTTCATGGATTTGCCTATTGATCAGCTGACGACTAATTTATCTGGGTTAAACGTCCCCGTATCTCAGTCATGAGAGTCTAAAGAGGTTTTAGACAGAGAAGAGACAACCAAAATGTGCAGTACTGGGGAGGGTCTAGGAATAGTTTGAAAACCCTGGACCACAAAAATCAAACCATACTTTATCCATATTATAATAGGTTTAATAATAATTGTAGTTATTGTAGTAACAACTTTACTGTTTGTTGTTAGGAGGTTTTGAACTTAGGGTGGGCAACACCATCAGTTCAATAACCAATTTGAAGGGTTTGATTATATTCTATCACTTTGAAAGCCCCTTCCCTTTAGAGGAGCCTCCAAGATTAGCAAATCAAAGTGTAATGCTCTGATATGGTAAAAGCGTAAAAGTAAAGCCATTTGAAATATGAAGGAAAATAAAAAAGGAAAGCAATTTGAATTATAAAATGTGTATCCAAAATAGACCTACAAAATATAGGCTTTATAATTAAGTTTTTCTTTATATATTTCTTTGTAACTTTGAGTCTGATTTTTAACTATCACCTCCACTTTTGAGCAGAGTGGAAAATGACATACCCGAACTGAAATCTTCACAGTTTATGAATGCTTCACACTACAGGCCTAATCACTGTCTTTTTTAAAAGAAGAAACAGTTTTGGAGTTTGCAGTATACCAAACAATATAACAATATGACTGAAATTATGACATTATAGAAGTCACTATGAATCAAAGTTGAAAATGATTTCCTTCTTTTTTTGTTGTAATATTGCAGTGTGTATTATAAATTATTTATCAGTGTACATCATACAAAAGAAAAAAAAAGACCTTTGATCGAAAACATTAACATGCCTGCCCCCCTTTGCAATTTCATATTTTATATGATGACGTGTACAGCAATGCAAGGGCTGGGAAATAAGATGCGTAGCCAGATGAGTTTCAGTCCTTCTCCTCCAGAAACTCATCGCTCACATGATGCAGCTGCAAAAATTAACCAATGTCATTGGGCCAATAAATTACTGATGGACAAAACCAAATACTGCCCCACCTATTGTGATGTTTCAATCTGATGTATGTCACAATATGGAAATGCCACAACCGCAGTTTCCTAATGAATTCATTTTAAAGAAAGTACACAAAAACCACAGTGTCCATTTCAATTTAGAGCTTTTTTTCTGCCCCTCTTCCTGCCTTGTGCACCTGAAATTTTGTCCTTTGTTTGTTTATTTGCTGCATATGTTGTGTTAGCCACATAACTAATGTGTATGGTAGCTATAATCGTCATGATCTGGGCAGTGCCTAACACAAGGATCTCCAACCATATTCCTGGATAGGTACCATTCTGCAGACTTCAGTTCCAACCCTGCTCCAACACACCTGCCTGCAATTATTAAGTAACCCTGAACACTTTGATTAGCTGGTTCAGTTGTGTTTGATTGTGGTTGGACCTGAAGGGTTAACCCTAACCCTAACCTGCAGGACAGTAGGGCTCTAATTTCCAAACAGTGTTTTTGGCTTGCTCTAAATCACTATAAGGTAAGGTAAGCCTATAATAATTATTGATATTTTAAAGCTGTCGGGCGAAGAGGGACAGGCTACTACTATATGCAGTGAAAGGCTTGAAGCAACAACAATGAACCTTGAACTGAAAGTAGTTCACATATCAAACGAGAAAGTTTGAATAGCATCACATTTGTTGTTCTTTGACTATGTTCACAAAACAAAACAAAACATTAATGTTTATGCTGGTAACAGTGCCAATCTCTAAAATCTGGTCTACTTGCCTATAAATAGCTTAGAGAAGTTATAATAGTTTTAACCATTTAACCTTATCTGATATGAATAGATGTCGTTATGTCAGCATTGCTAAACTTTTGTAATGTTATTTTAAAACAATTGTTTTCAACAAGTCAAAATAACAGCAGAATGAAAGCTAATTACCTGTTCATAAGAGATATTTTTGGATGTCTGTCTTTTATTAATTATTGGGGAAGTTTTTATATCTCTAGTGACATTCTCACTGATAAGGCTATCACATGGTTCATATTCATGAAACCAAAACAAAACAATGTTCTTCTGCAGGTAACTTGTAATTACTTTACCTGTGAAAACCACTTTCTTGTTCATGCAATGCACAATGTAAGGCTGTTTTTGAAAGCTGTTCTTTAGAGAACCACCAGATGGCGGCATTTATGATATACTCTATATTGTAATAAATAAATAAATAAAACGTACATGTATACAGAATTAGTGGGAAAACATTATTTAATAAAAATAAATGTGTACAGTGTAATTGGCAAAGAAAAATTAAAGACATTGTGATAAAGAATAAACAGGTTACTAGTGCCGAAAAGGTAATTAATTATATACACACAATTATTTGTAATTATTAATAATTATTATTAACACATTGGCTTTATACTGCAGCTTGATGTCATAGCATTTATTTTTTATTTTACATATTGTCTATTCCAGCTTTCAGTTTGAAGTCTTGTTTTTGTAAAGCTACATATTGTGATTTTGCTGTATCACTTACCAAACAACCAAATAGTAAAATGGTATGCTTGATTGATTATATCATTACTGTACAATATTCCCAAAGAAAATAAATTTCTTTATTCATTAACAAATTAAGCGGTAGACTTTTTTTTGTTTGTTAGGACCCTAAAGATACTATGCCACCTAATTATTAACTTATGTGAACTGGCTGAAAAATGCCTGTGGGTGTCAGACTCTGGGCCAGGTTTTGTGTGTGTCTTTGCTCCCTATGTGCTGAGGGGAGATGGTAACACTTGTTTTCTTGTTAGATTCCCACAATGTGTTTATTTGGATTCCTAATGCAATGAGATGATTGAGCTCAACACTCATTCCCTTATCTGTTTAGTGAAACTTTTCCACTGGGCCAATCAACTGTACTGCCTGGAACTACATAGCCAAAAAGCATGTTTCCCCATTGACTACCATTCAAAAACTTTACTTAAAAATATTACATCAGGAGTGATCAATCATATTTCTGGAGATCTACTTTTCTGCGTAGTTCAGTGCCAACCCTGCTCCAACAAACCAAGAATGATTTTGATCAGCATTTAAGTGCTCATAGCAGAAGGCTCTCTCAAATGGTTATCCCCATTTAAAGTAACCCAAAGGTGAAAATTACCCCATGATTTACTCAAGGCTTCCTAGGTGTGTATGACTTTCTTCTTTCAGACGAATACAATTGGAGTTATATTAAAAAATTTCCTGGCTCTTCCAAGCTTTATTATGGCAGTAAATGGGTATTATTTTTCATTAGTCCAAAAGAAGTCCAATAAAGCGCATCTATCTATCATAAAAAAGTGTCCCACACAGCTCCGGGGGGTGAATAAAGGACTCCTGAAGGGAACTGATGAATTTTTGTCAGACAAATATCCATATTTAAAACGTTATAAACGGTAATCTCTAGCTTCCACTAACTGTGGAACATGCATTCACAAAAGAACGTCGTTCCAGTGGATGACGTAGAATGTAGGCTTAGCGTAAGCGCCGGTGAGAAGTGATGAACGCGGAAACACAGAGGAGAGAGCAAAACAAAACACCAGTCACGAATTAGAAGTACAAAATGAGGATTTGTAAAGAAAAATGCCAGAGGATTTCAATATAAGCCAATAGGAGATTGGTTTTCCTTTGATAAACAAATGATACTTTGCTTCCTTTGCTCCTATAAACAAAACTTGGTTCTCGTGAGACTACCATATTGTCACCGGAGCTTACGCTAAGCCTATGTCCTACGTCATCTGTTGGAAAGGTGTTCTATTGTGCACGTGTGTACGAAAGCTAGCGGAAGCTAGAGATTACTGTTTATAACGTTTTAAATATGGGTATTTTTCCTACAAAAATGCATTGAGGAGGCCTTTATTCATCCCCCGGAGCCATTTAGGACACTTTTTAGGATGAATGGATGCGCTTTATTGGATTTCTTTTGGACTAATGAAAAGAGAGAGAGAGAGAGAGAGAGAGATGGCAATGCCTGCTTTATAGTTAAACTCATCAAAGTTAAATTATGTTTATTGTGTGTCTGTGTAGATTTTTTTCATGCACGTTGTTAGTGCAAATATTTTGCACTAGCTGGAAGGTGAGCTAGTTCATGGCTACAAGATTCACGGTTAGTTGTAACCCCAAGACTCTGGGTTCAGTCGGTCACTCTCGACGTCACGTCGGTGATGACCGATGAATTGGGATCTCACCAGAGAGACCAATCCACTTCGAGTGTAACTAAATGAGCCAATGGACATTGGCATGCGGATTTCACATCTGGCTGCCACACCCCGCAGCGCGGGTATAAGAGGCAGCAGGTGCACCGCATTAATTCATCATTTCGCTTCGGAGCCGAGTGGTAGTGCATCACTACTGCTCTGTACTTCGGTGTTGAAGAGAGAAGCTAGCGAGTGCAGGCGTTACGGCACATCAGCGGTGGTCACGGTCTCATGAAAAAAAATATTAAAAAAAAAGATTGTCCTCGTGCAGACAGCCACACCAGGAGTGTGCGGTAGCCAGCTCCCCTGCGTGCTTCAGCAGAAAAAGAGCAAATCTCTAAAAGAGCAACACGGGTGATCGCGTCTTTTTAAAGATGGCTTATCACCGGTGCGTTTCTGGGTGCGGTCGCTTTCTGGCGCCTCGGGACAGTCACGATCGCTGCCTCACTTGTCTGGGTGTTGAGCACGCTGAGAAAGCTTTCGTGGATGGTGCATGTTCTATTTGTAGGGACATGGCCATCTCGGAGTTGCATGAAAGACTCCGTTACGTCAAACGTGGCGGGGTCCCTCTGCCTCTGCCGCGATCCAGCATTTGTCCCGGCAACCGGGGTGGCGCTGCGTCCGGTGGAGTCAGAGG